GTTATTGAATAATTTTAAAAAAATTGATTTTATTTTCATCATTGTTACATGCACAATGTGTTACCATTTATTCATTATAGTATGTTGTTTATTAGCATCACAATTAGATTTCATTTATCTTGATATTTGATATATCGAGATTCGATATTGATAATATTGTAGTTATACTAACAATATTTTTATAATTGATCGAAACAGGATTAACAAAAGAATAGAAACAGAGTGAAGAATTTAATTCATTTGACATATACTTTTTCTCCAACCGCGACAAAGGAACCAATGCAATTGTCGAACTAAGTGTAGTTTTCGTGACAAAATGCATGTTCAAATATAATAAGAAAATGGCAACGCGAATATCAGTACTTGTGAGATTTATGTGTAAACACGTGGCAAAATCATTAATCATTTCAACGTTGCGCGTAAAATCATGCATCAAACTTAATGTATACGAAATTGAATGGGTATACGAACAGTGACGAAAACGTGATCTTAAATAATCATACAAACGCGTTATTGTAATTGACGATGATGACGGGGAGATTTAGCCGAGAATCGAATATTCGATCAGCATGTTTGCGAATTTAGAACACCTCGAACACCTCCGTCACCTTTCGCCGACAATCCAAGTTATTTGTAAAAGGTCTTCAATTTGTATTAATATTCCCATTTCCCCCCTATTTAAAAACACATGATTTTAAATAGATATGTTAATTGTCCACATTCTCTTGCACGATGCCAGACTCCTTCCAATCACATTGAAGTAAAGGGCAGTTATCCATTAAAAAATCTTAACAATGTCGCATTTTTGTTTTTGTAGAATTTGATTTGAGTCGAGTTCGTTAGAGATTTTGAATATCCTAATTATATGTCTCAACATTTCTCAAATAATATATGATAACGTGTATCTATTTGTTATATTTGATGCTATGTTGAAAGTTATGTGAGATACCTCAAACATTTTAACGATGTAATGCAATTTTTACGTTGAATTTTTCGAGACTTTCGCATATGTAAAAATATTTTGAATACATAGTGATAATAAATATCGCATCATATAAATCATATATATATATGGTACTATAAAATTGAAAAGCAATATGCAAATTTAAAAGTAACACAAGTTGAAATTTATATCAATTTTTTCAAAAACAATAAAATAATTATTAAAATGTTTGTGATAAGGCTCAATATGTATTAAACAACTAATATAAAGAGATAAGGGCAATGAGCCAATAATTTCGTTAAAATCTTTAAATTAATCTAATATATTGCGAAGAATATCACGTAATGCCTTACTGATGAGTCCAGTAGTGGAAGTTGGGACGAAACGCCATAATTACGTGATATTCTCCACAATACATTAGATTAATTTAAAGATTTTAACGAAATTATTGGCTCATTGCCCTTATCTCTTTATACTAGTAAAATAATTATCATTTATAATAAGATAATTATAAATATATAATAAAAAATAACGGTATATCTTTTTTGAAAGCATAGTAAATTTTCACTATATATTCAAAATAGACACTTTACCCTGACGGTCGGTCGTATTAATAACAATTAATTAGCGGTTGATTCCAACTAGTAAGAGCACGGTATAATAGTAACCGCTGCGGGAAATACTCCTAGATGTTGAACACCGTTTGGGTCGAGGTTGGGCGCGTAGCATTATCGTGTTTAGTTCAGGGTGGGATTATGGTGGTGGTGGCTGGTGGTAACGTTGGTGTGGTGGTGGTTGCAGATCACGGGCTTGATGAGGCAGAGGGCGCGGCTTACCACCACCACCACAGCCATCACCAGCAACATCATCGGCATCGCCATCATCATCCACTATCCGTCCCTCCCCCTCACCACCGTCATCAGGCGCAACTGGAAGACGACACATCAGTTAATCAATCTTCCACTACGGCCACCACGATCACGAGGACCATCAAATATGAACGTGGTCAACCGGACTTCAGGCAGCAGAGATTATTGCGGGAGCATCATCGACAGCACGGTTACAGGTGTCCCCTTTGCTGTAGGACATTACATGATATCAGCGCTATGAGGGCGCACTTGGATCATCATTACCCTAGAGATTCACCCACCTGTCCCGTTTCCTCTTGCGCCAAAACCTTCTCCCATCCCAACAGTGTTAGAAACCATATGCGACTGAAGCATCCTGTGGAGTGGGATCAGATTAAGACTTTGAGATGGACCTATGTCTGATGAATACGCGAAGATCAGTATAACTCTGATCGCGTGTTGTAACTTTATTCTTTCCCATAAATATTTTACCAAAGAAACATTGCTTTTTGTTTTCCGGTGTGGCCCTATAATTCTTTGTGTGCTAACTGCGCGGTGATAATAAGTAATAATTTAATAGATTAGGGCAGACGTGTTACAGTTTGAAAATTGCTGTTAGCATTACTGTAACAAAAATGATGAATACAGTTCAGATCTAGATTTTATTTGATCTGATTAATTCAAATCTGATTTTAATTGATTCAATTTTGTTTTGGAAATATTGTTATTAATATCAAAGATTTTGTAAATTATTATCTATTATTTTAAATATATATCTTAAAATATATTATAATTAATGTTAATAGATATTATAATATATATTAATATAATTGCACACAGTTGCAATTATATTAATAATTATACACAAGAAAAAGTTGTATATTTTAATGAATTTGAATATCTTAGGTATCAATTGACAATCATTCCTTGTACATACAAGAGAATTCATCTTGTTTATTTAACATTTTCATAATAAATACCAAATTAATCGTCAAATCGAGCTTATTATCGCCGCGCTGTGCTATTTTGGATCACGTTGGAAGAGAGTCTGGTCGACGGAATTTCAGTTCTTTATAAAATTGACAGATATCGCAATATTTATAAACGAAATTGGTAAACATATTGATAATAAAAATTATGAATTATCTGGGAAAAAAAAAAGTCTATTGTGTACCCCGGTGTGATAGGAAATGCGCAAGGTGACAACCGAACTTTAGTGCTTTATTTCGAAACTGTCACACGCACCCATCGTGAAGTTTGTCCCTGACAAAAAGCGCACACTGTATATATGCGAGAGATTATATCGACAAAGGAGAGAATCTATAAATATATATATGAAAAGCTATTACATTGAGCATATATATATATACATAAAGAGATATACATAGAGTTGATTTTGTATAAAATGTACGAAACAGTATTTCCTGTAGAGCCTGAAGCGTAGATCACGCCGGCGTAGAGAATGAAACGATACACTTACACACTGCGACATCCGGCGTACGCCGGACATTAATATAAGGATTAGATTACGTATCTAAGAGAGAAAACAATGTTCCTCTAAGCTGAGTAAGCCAGCCTTATGTTATATAATGTAGTCTTAAGAGTGTAGAAACGGAAGAGCGCACGAAGACTACGACGAAACCGAGCGGTCGATCGCTTCTAAAGATCTGTTTTACTCTAATAATTGCGCGACATGTGTGAGAGATGCTGGCGCGTATACACGAAATGCATGAAAATATGCAGGTCTATGTGAGTGAATGGATCGCGAATGAATACGTCGACCAGAAGTACGGTCGCTTGACAATGCCTAGCCTTATTTTTCTACGTCTTACGTTTCATCAGTATTTCTTAGGTCAAGAGTGCCCCAAAAGACGTTACGTTCAAAACCGTGCATATATTAAAGTACGCCGCGAATAAACACGAAGTATATTTATATATATTTCTGTGAATGTACGAGTTGTTAGTCGCGGATCTCGAAACAAAAGTGCCGGTGAATGCAATAAATATATTAGTTTCTAACCATTAACACTTTCCATTGGGCCGCCTCCAATTTGGCTCAGATAGTGTTTTTTATTTAGTATTTTGAATGTATGTAAAATCTCTCCCTCGTAGAAAAGGAATTGCGTGCTAAATAATAATTATTTAAAATTTTATTATCGTTATTTTTTAATGAAAATTGGTAAATCTGTAAATTCTCATGTAAGCATAAATAAAGTGAATATCACTTTTGATCTTTCCTGTCCTTATATATATATCGTGATTGCTTGTTGATAATTTCCACTGAAAAATAACGATTTATCATAGCGTTGAATAACTTATTCAGCACATAGTTTCTTGTCAATATGATTCTATGTGTTTCAAATGCTAAATAAAAACACTACATAAGCCAAATTGGAGACAAACTAAAGAAAAGAGTTAATGGTTAGACAGAATTTGTATAAATTTTTTTTTAATTTACACTTAACTAAATGTATTACATACTCAATATTATATTGTTTAGAAAATCGAGCGCTGCAAAGTATCTGTGCAACAAAGCATATTTTAAATTTAATATTATTTATTATTAGTTTTTTTCTTCCTGGCTAACAACTCGTACTATAAATAATGTATAGAATACCGTACATATTATTTTAGCAAATACTAGCTTCTATATATATATATATAAATATATATATAAGATGTACGAAATAAAGTCTATACTATTTAAGTAATGCTTTGTACAATAAAAAGTACTCAGACACAAATTCAGAGTATTATATTTCCACAATCTCTTATAAATAGTTATAACACCCCATTGATTGCAGCACCGGTATAATCGATTTTAGAAGAAAATAGCCTCATATAATTTTTTTCACTCTTATCATATTTTTATATTTTTAAGTAAATACTTTTTTGTTTCATCAACAATTTTTCCATTATTCTTATTATCTTTCTCAATTCAACATATAAAATCTTATATAAATTAGACGATATCATTTTTATTTTTAATTATTTACAAAATTGAAAATTATCTAATATAGAATGGCTCTTATAAAATTAATTGCTTTCAAAAAGAGATAACGACAGAATAAAATTTTTGGAATCATTGTCAGTCGATTGCATACTAGTCAATGATCCAATTTTCTTTCTTCCATAATAAGTAAGTAGATACGTGAATACTTCTCTTACCCATCCGTCATTTATTTTCAGTCGCTCGACGAAGTCTGGATATGATTCGAGTTCGTGCAACGGATCCTAGGCCTTGCCCGAAGTGCGGAAAGATGTATCGTTCAGCACATACATTGCGCACTCATTTGGAAGACAAACATACAGTCTGTCCGGGATATCGCTGTGTTTTATGTGGAACAGTGGCAAAGTCTCGGAATTCTCTACATTCACACATGTCGAGACAACACCGAGGCATCAGTACGAAAGATCTTCCAGTTATGCCGATGCCCAGTAAATTCGATCCGGAGTTGGCGTCCCGTTTATTAGCTAAAGCTGGAGTCAAGGTGAGTCCGGCTGAACTTCGCGCACGAGCCAGCCCAACAGCATCACGAAGAAGCGACATGAGGTTGGAACCACCTCGTGCAGGTGCATCCGAAATTGATAGCTGCGGTGGCGATGATCCAGAAGACCTTAGCCTTAGGTATAGTTCGCCACTTTCAAACACCGTCATTACTAAGGTAAGCGGCAACAGCAACAGTAGCAGCAATAGCAAGAATTCGACAGCAATCGTCCCCAAGTCTTTGGATTCTATGCATGGCAATGGTGATCTCAACATGGCGCCATTGCCACATGGCAGTCATCATTCAGGCCACAATACTAGTGCGATTGCTGGTTCGGCACTTTTGGACACCTATTTACAGTTTATTGCAGAGAATTCTGCAATAAATTCTGGTCTATCAGCGATAGGACTTGGTCCAGAGCATGCGGCCGCCGTAGCACATGCCGCTAAAATGCGCATGAGTCTAGAAAAGCACGGCAGTCGTAGCTTGGAGGATTATCCAATAATCGGCAGAGACGAGGGTCGAGGCTCCGGAGTCGTTCATGAGGACAGACAGGAATTCGACAGACACAGTGGACTTATCGACGAAGGGGAATCGTCTGGTGTGGATGATGACGAATTTAGCGAGAATGAGGAGCCAGAAGTGATAAAGGAATAATTCCTTCCTTTTAGAATAGCTAATGATTTTAAAGAGCATCTTTGAATTACTGACGAGTTCTTCGAGATGATTTGCAGTTTGCGGTATAAATTGATGTTCGCGACAATTCTTGTTTAATGAAATACGGAAAGATAATTTATGTGCCAGATCGTCCATATGAAGAATCAATCGATGATTCTGTTTCTTATTGCGCGCTCTATTATTGCGTGAAAGGACTCGTGAAGGTTACTGGATACCAGATATATTTGAAAAGTCAAAAAGTCTTTAAAGTATTTTGACGCCAACACACAGATGGTGCGTGGACAAGCTTACTTGTTGGATTAGAGCTATTTAATTGCCACTACACAAGTAAGCATATGTATATATGCAAGACTATGCATATGCAAACACATATACATACATATATACACACACGCGCGCGCATACACATACACACACTCACACACTCACACATACACAAGCGCGTGTGCGCGATGGAGCACTCACACATATACGCCACAAATATTCCATCCATCTACCTCAGTGCACATAATAGATGATAGAACAGACTAACGAATCTCAGTAAATGAAGAGAGAAGATGACGTACGCCGTTGGATCGCAGAACAACAATGATCGCAAGGTTTGATTGTTGCAAGCTCTAAAATATCAAATATGATGACTAGGCAAGGCAATTTTGCTATTTACTTTCTAAAAGTTTAAACGACTTAAAAATTTAAGTGCGATAATTAACGTTTGTTATTCTATTATTATTATTATTATTATTATTATTATAAGTATTGAATACATATTTAGATATATCGCTTAAATTTATAGAAAGATTAAACTTTCAGACAACATTTAGTTCTTTAAAATTTTTTTTATTTGGGTAATGTGCGTAGCGAATTAGTGTCATATTGTATCTATCGGATGCACGTGCACATATAGATATAATTGGAACACATTGAAATATGAATGCCACGTCATATATGAATGAATTCTTAATTTCTTGAAACATTATCCAGAAAATTATATATATGGTATTTTATAAATTAAATATTATTTTTTTCATAATTTATTATTTTGTTTTAAAAATAAAAATTACTTATGATTATAAACAATAAGATTTTTTACAAAAATTTGACGTACAATTTTTGTATTGATTTTTATTTAAATGACGAAAAGAATTCTTAGAAACAAAAAATATCATTCGTATATTATGGTGGTGTAATTATGTTAATAATGTTTAATACATAACTGTTTTCTGCTCACTAAAAGAAATTGATGTGGATCGTGAAATATTCTTGTAATTGCGGGCGCACCTAAAAACTTATAGATTTTATTCACGATATAATTATGATAATAATTGTGTTTTAGTCTTGCTCCAATTAACTATTCTTTAAAGGAACTTAAATGTAATTAATCACATCATCAATTTGTTTAAGTTTAGATATTTATTTATTGATTATTTAGATAATTGGATTTTTTAAATAAATATTTTAGCGAAACACACACACGCACAATATTATGTTGTTCTCTATATCGACGCCTCCTATTTGTAAAATGTTTCTTCCAACAAGTGTTGTAACATGCCATTTGTTCTTGTAGAATAAGATGTTAACTCGCGCTTATCGTGCAATAGAATGCTAATTCGTATGTCCGTTTAATAAGGTTATACCAACTCAAGTACCCATGCAATGTGTTGTCAATTCACGCTTTTTACTTTTTATTATTATAAATACATTATTATGAATCTAGAAATCAAACAGGTTTTTCTATATTCATAATAATGTATTTATAATAACAAAAGTAAATCGTTAAGAGTTTGATTTGTTAATTTGTATGTACTAATAGTACAACAAAAAATGTAACAAAGAAATTTTATAAAAGCTTTAAATGTACATTATTTTATTAAATCTGCAACAATAAATCGAAAAGCTAGAATCGACAACATATTGCACGGTACTTGAGTTGGTATCTTATTAAACGGACATACAAATTAGCATCTTATTACACGAAAGCGTAAGTTAGTATCTTATTCTACAAAAACAATTGGCATGTTATAAAATTCTTGTTGGAATAAACATTATATTTATATATATTTTAAATTGAAAAACGGTGGAGCAAAACTGAATCACAATTAAATCATCTCTATATCAATAGTGAATAAAACATCACGATTGTAACATACACGCTTTTGATATTTAATTAATCCTTTGGATTGAAAAAGCAATTGTTTTTCGAGAAAATTTTTTTTTATTGTATATTAAATGTGAGTTCGGAGAGAGTGAAGAAAGCACTGAAGTATGTCAATCATTTTGACATACATACCTGTATAGACTACGTGCGTTGACCCACTTATAAGATTTGACTTAATTTTCACAAATTATAACTAAATTTATTGCTTATATTCTGTTTTTTCAAGTAACTTAAAAAAAAGAGAGAAAAATATGGAATGCTTTAGTTCCATTTTTAGTTTCTCTTTGACCTTACCTTTTCATCCTATCATCTTTTGCATGCAGCATCTCTTTTGGGACAGGTATTTTAGGCTTGCCATGACATAGTTAAGTAGTGACTTAAGTTTGTTGTTGAGACGATAAAATACGGTAGTTATCATACGTCAGTAATAAAATATTAAAATAAAATCGGCGCGGTCGAGATTGTAAATTGCACTAATTATTAACGAACTACGATAAAAGGCGATTAAACTTATTCCGCGATCTCGCGACGAGAGACTGGACGTAAATGCGTTCAAACACACGGCTTCTCGAATAACGGAACGAATGTATATTGTTCGTTGCTTGCGCGAACATAATGTTCTTAGCGCGACAGAGATTTCTTCTATTTTCGCGAGACGTAGAGAAAAGTTAATTTAAAGGAAGATTCGCCGCTAAACGTGCACGACGCGGTACGTCGTGAAATTGTTCCTACTAATATATATATATATAATTCATAAGTTAATTTCATCGACAACACATTTCATAGATTCTACGTATATGATAATAATAGAAACACACATACGTATATATGTATTCTTTATATACGCGTATAAAGGAGTGGAGAGAAATTTAGCAATATATAGCAGCATGGCGCGGGTCAAACACGATTGTGGAAATGTTGAAAAATTAGTTTGTTTTCTCACTTTAGAAGATAAACTATGCCATATTTTTGATCAGTTTGGTCAGCTAAGATGCATCGAATATCTTGCCCTTTGGTGCGTGTTTTAATATGAGACTTAAACATAAACTTGGAGATTTACATTTTTTCTTAAAAAGAAAAATGCTAGTTGATCAATGCCAGGGTAACACGAGTTAAGTTTGAAATTTCCATGAAAAATTACCATAAAATGTTGTGAATTTTATCTTAATATAAAATTCCGCGCGAGAAACTACGAGTTGATTAAAACCACAATATTGTCATGCGCTCTGAATTTTTCATGCAGAGAAACTATCAAGAAACTATGCGGTGTTCGCGATGCCGTTATTCGATAAAAACATTTAAAAAGCATAAAAAATGGAAAAGTCAAACAAAGTTGCATAAAAAATCAAATTACATGAAAAGTCATGGAAGTTATAAAAGTTGTTAAACAAGTCATGAAAAAATAAAATAAACTTATCACGTTTTACAAATTAAATTGTTTTGTTAATAAAATTCATTAGCGTTAGTTATGCAAATAATAGGAATGCTAATTTACACAAAAACTAGATACAAAAGTTCTACTATAGTAATCAAAATTGGTATTATAGGAGCTTGTATATCTCTTGAATTTTGAGTTCTATTACGTTTTATGATCGTTAAAGCAAAAATGATTAATAGATATGCCCGTATTTTAATTTTTAATAACTGTATCTCAATTCAAGTTTTTGCTGTCAAGTTCTGCTAAATATCGAAATAAGAAACTTAGGAATATTTCATTGCTTCTGTGCTAAGACTGTATGAACTATTGGAGAAACAATTGGATTCTGTGGTATTTAAAATGTCTTGAGAGTCCAGGAGGATGGAAGCTGTTGCATTCTTTGACGCTCTTTCTCAAAGCGAGAAATCGACATGTATAAATTCATTGTCTTAATTGTATCGTGACCATCGTTACTCTTATACTCGTATCAAATTAGAGATTAAGATTGAGATTGAAGGTGAACTTGGCCAATTAAAGCTAAATTCACTAAACTTTATGTTTTTTTCTTTTGATTAGCTCTAATTTGATACAAGCATTAGTATACAAGTCAATTACTTATAACATTAAATATTATTAATTCGAGATAAAATCTTTACATCCAAGAAAAAAATATCGTTACATAATCAGAAGAAAGAAAATAGATTTTGTATAATGAAATTATATCAAATTCTTATCTGTTACCTAAAAATTGACATTTTCGATTTATCAAGACACACTTTTAGTTTTCTATTTTCTTTAAATTAAAAAAAAATAATTATTAGAAAATGAAAACTTTTTACGATAAGAAAATGATATTTGGAATGAGGAATGTGTCTCTTTCAATTCTCTGTTTTTTAGTCTGTGGAACATTTCATTTTCGAACTCTTGGAACAAGTATTTGTTGTTGTATAAAAAAAAAATGATCACGTCAAATTTAAGAATTGATGCCTATTCATGGCTGAATGTCCAAAATCTGTTCAAGTTGGCTCAATTGGACTAGTGTTAATAATTTAGTCCTAAAGAATAAGTATGCTATTGGCAAAACTTTTTTCATAAGCTGTCATAACGTACTTTAACCTATTTAATATTTTTGGATTGATCTTGCACCTCATGTTCTAAATACAAAATTATAAAAGAGAGAAAGTCTATTAAATGTGTTCTATGTACGACGCACAGTTAAGCAGAATCTCAAAAGCTGGTCCAAATCTAAAAAAATAATACGTCTTTTTGTTTTAAATTTAGTTACGTTCTTTATTTTTATAAATATTTGTAAATTATGTTATATTAATTGTAGTATGTTAATTATAATTATTTTTACGCGTTATTTCTATATATAATAAAATAGTTAGTGTTATTTTATATTAATCA